AATGGCTGACCCTGCACTCTGACCCCAAGCTTCTCTCCCTGTCTGTGTGTCTGTGTCTCATGGAGAGCAGGCTGGGGTATGCGAAAAGACAAATTCCGAATGCAAGAAATTGTATAGGGCTAATAAAGCAACATTAACATTACACTTTTCCCAGGACAGCAGGCGCCCCGCCTGCACTTCTCACCTCCGGCCACTGGGGGCAGTGCAGTGCACTCCGATGACCGCTTGCTGAAGGCATTCAGCCTTCCCGCTTGTTCCGATTTATATGACAAAATCTGATCAGCAAATTCTGCAAGATTTGCTTGTGGGCTTCCGACAGCCAGGGACTTGTGAACGGTGGTGAGGTCTTTGTATCCCGTGCCTGATTTAGCTACATAACGTGGGAACAGGGACTTTGGCTGATTGCCCAAGGTTATCCCAGCTCAGCTGTCTACGCTGTCTGGTTTTGTACTGTGTACGGCAACAGACTGTTCCTAACCCATCATCAGAATGTTTCTATGTGTGGTTAGGAACAGTTTGTTGCCGTATGCAGTTTTATGCTCCTTGATGCTCTCCAAGAACCGAGGCCTGGTGCTGTTCTTGAAGTTGGGGGTGAGAAGGTCTGGCTTGATGTACCAGAGCGCCTGTCTGTCTGAGAAGGCGCCCCGGCTGGTGTCTTGATCGAGCCGTCCTGGGAGTCGCATGGCCCCCGAATCCGCCCCGCTTTAACACCAGCGGGACGTGTGAGGAATATCGGGGCGCCTGAGCGCACAGCACCCACAGAGCTCCTACCCCGAGGCTCTCTCAGTCATCGTTGACTCTGGCTTCTCCAGGTTTCGTTTGCCACAACCCCAGACTCGGTTGTCTCGGGAGGAGGGGGAGGTAGAGATGTGTCGCTGTGAGCCTGGTGTAACCCCATACTCACTGCAGTACTTCCTGTCTCTGGGTGAGCTGATATTCCGCCCTCTATTCATATATCAGTGAATACAGGCTCAGGAGAACGGACTGTTTCATTGCTCAGTGCTTTATAAACGTCATCATGTGTGATGACACCCGTTGCTCTATCTGTGTCTGGAGCGGATCAGACTGCTGCAGGAGAAGGCTGCCCCGAGTAACGCTGTCTGTGTTCATGTATCTCCTGCAGACGTGTGACACGGATGACGTGGACGAGGTGGAGATCTCTGTCGACAATGCAGCTTTCATGGATGAGTTCTTCACTCAGGTGAGAGCGGGCCACCGTCCCATCGCTGTCTGGACTGAGGGGTGCCGTTGTCTCTGA